CTATAATCAAAAGAAAATTATCATTAAAAAAAAGAAAACAATGCCGTGTTATATAAATAAAATCTACATGACCAGGGCTTAAAAAATACAATATTTGCCTTAATACTACGCCCTGAAGAGCTTTCAGCAAGCGTGTACAACCATTAAAAGGTAAACATACAAATACTTTGTAATATTTAAAAATTATATACAAATATTTACAAGTATGTTAAAATCAGTTACTAATCTATAATCAAAAGAAAATCGAAATAAGAAAATAAGAAATAATCACACCTAAAAACTAGATATAGTTAAAAATATCAAAAAGATAAGTTAATAGGATAATTAAAAAAAAAAACATAAATTAGAAACAAGTTAATTAGATAGTTGTTAAAAAGTAAATAAAATAAAAATGAAAATAAAAAAATCATAAAAAGAATTTAATTCATTAAACATCTTTAAAAAGTTTTTGTTTGTGTTTTTGTTTGAATAGAGAAAGAGAAGAGCAAATTTTCAGCTTGTTCTTTAATAAAGTGTTCCATACTTTAGGACCTCTGATGACAATAGAAAATTTGGTAAACAAATAGCCTATTTTAGGTTGCACATATTTGTAATTTAAAAATCCTGGAGGGTACGCGTGATTAACTTTATTGAAAAGTGTACTAAATATTATAGGAGTTGAGATTTATGAAGTTTGTACATAAATATAAGAATTTGATAAAGGTTTAGCTGAAAAACATTGAATATGTGATGACTTTTAAATAGTTCTTTCGAATGTGGAATTGACCTACACTTGAAATAATTCTGACAGCGTGTTTTTGTTTGCTAAGCAGTTTTTTAATTTACTTACATTAGAGCTGCACCATGCAATATTTTTATAGTTAATATAACAATGTATAAGGGCGAAATAAAAGATTTTAAGGAGTCTCTCCATGCCAAGTTTTCGTCAAGTATCACTCCTAAAAACTTTAATGATGAAACTCTAATTTTAATTTTAAAGTTTAAATTTTAATTTTAAAGTTGCCTATATAAAGAACAGGAAGTTTTAATGAAACATTTACTTTATTGTGAAGTCTATGAAAAAAAGTATACTTAGTTTTATTTTTTTAGTTTTATTAAAAGTTCCTTGTTTACAATTTTAAATAAAAGGTTGATATTTCCATTAGAATAAAATAAATTTGTGTCATCTGCAAATAAAACTGAGTTTAAAACTTATGGAAATCGTTTGCATAAATAAGAAATAAAAGTTGACCCAAAATTGAGTCTTGAAGAAGACAACAAGCTAAGTCATGTAATCAGATTTTCCTTCTTCATGTGATATGTATTGTTTTCTTTTGTTTAGATAACTTTTGAGCCATTCTAAATATGTGCTTTTAATACCATAACTTTTGAGTTTTTTATAAGAAAGTTATGGTCTACTGTATCAAAAGCTTTGCTAAGATCTTTTAAAACTCCGAGGGTAAAGTTACTTTCGTCAAATGCTTTTAATATATCGTGAACAATATTAGCAATAGCATGGTCAGTTGAATACCCTGGTCAGTTGAATACCCTGGTCAGTTGAATACCCTGGTCAGTTGAATACCCTGGTCAGTTGAATACCCTGGTCAGTTGAATACCCTGGTCAGTTGAATACCCTGGTCAGTTGAATACCCTGGTCAGTTGAATACCCTGGTCAGTTGAATACCCTGGTCAGTTGAATACCCTGGTCAGTTGAATACCCTGGTCAGTTGAATACCCTGGTCAGTTGAATACCCTGGTCAGTTGAATACCCTGGTCAGTTGAATACCCTGGTCAGTTGAATACCCTGGTCAGTTGAATACCCTGGTCAGTTGAATACCCTGGTCAGTTGAATACCCTGGTCAGTTGAATACCCTGGTCAGTTGAATACCCTGGCAGAAATCCAAATTATTGTTTAGAATATTATGTATATTTAGAAAAATTCGGTTATGCATAATTTGCTTTAAGATTTTAGAAATGCAAGGGAGAAATGAAGTTGGTCTGTAACTTTCAGGTTTAGAAATGTCTCCTGATTTGAAAATGGGTATGACCCTCGCAATTTTAAGTTTTGTTGGATAAACAGCTATTTTTAAAGAGAGGTTAAAAATATGTAAATTAGGGATTGTTAAGTATTTTATTGATTTTTAAATTACATTACTAATAATATCATCAAATCCCACACTTTTATTTAGTTTTAAAATATATACTGCACCTAAGAGTTCCTTTTCAGTAACTTCATAATTGTCCGTCTCAGAGGTCTTATTAGGAGTATGACTCAAAGTTTATGACTCAGTAGTTTCTACTTTTGATGTTAAAGTGAAACCTGAAGAAAATATTGATTAAGTAATTCAGTAGTTTAAGATTTCTTTGTAATAATTTTATTTTCAATGATTTCTGTCAGTATTTTTCGTACTAATTACTTTCTTAAGAAAAATACTTGAAACAATATTAATTAGCTAGCTGAGATCGAACCCGTAAAAATATGGGTCTTTGGAAGTCTTTTCCAAACCGAATTTTTTTTTACTTTTTCCTTATATAATCTAGCTTTCTGGATCCGTAAAATACGGACCTTTACCAATCCTACCATTTCTATACATACCTATTCCACACCGATTGTTTCTATACCTATTCCCTACTCCCTTCAATACTTTTTAGTAAAATAATTTTGTTTTAAGAGAAAAAAACTTACATGCGCACCTTCTCCGCGTACGTAAAGCTTATAAGAGACTTATAATTAGGTTTGGTTTTTTGGTTCTTTGCTTATATATTTTTAACAACAAAAAAAAATATAGCAAAAAATATTTATAAAATTTAAAATAAATTTTCTCATTTATAGATATATTATCACGATTATTCTATATAATGCCTGCAAACTCAACATATGCTAAAGACACTTACACTTACAGACGTTTGTATGTAACGTTATACAAATGGAACTAAGAAGATCCTAGACCACTAAAACACAGTCTTAAAAAAAGTTCATGCTTATGATTGTGATTACAAACTAAAGAATAGTATTAAACGCTCATCTAAAAGTCATGTGAAAAAAATTTTGCGCATTGACGTCGGTTTGTGGCAAAATAAACCTTTACGCGTCAAGTTTCTTTTGCATTTATCTTACATTTTTTGATTAATTTTAATTTTGTTGCATACAAATGCATAAAAATATATAAAATTGATACAGATATATCATTTCATTGATAAGAGATTGTATTTATTACAATACTAATAAATAGTTATTGTCTTTATAAGAATATATCCCATAAAAATATTTTCCATATATCTTTAATAGCACTTCTATTAAAGATATATGGAAATTATTTTATTCTGACGGAAAAACTAGAAAAACAAACTAAAAAATAGTTTTTTAGCAATCAGAAGTTATCAAGAGAGGGGCAAATCTAAAATTGAAGTTTTAAACTTTCCACTTAGATGAGACTATATCTTCACTGCTTTTTCAATCTTGTAAACTTTTAAATATAATAACATACCTACAAAAAATCAAAACATAACAGCTTGAGCAAAAAAGACTTGTAATTATTAGAAAAGTTTACTTATATTACATACAATCCTGAATAAAACGTTATACAGGTGGATTTTTTACATTTTATAAACAATATATATATATATAAACAAATAACATATTTATATATATAATTTAGTAAAAATACTTATCTAATTTTTAGTATATATATATATATATATATATATATATATATATATATATATATATATATATATATATATATATATATATATATATATATATATATATATATATATATATATATATATATATATATATATATATATGTATATATATATATATATATATATATATATATATATATATATATATATATATATATATATATATATATATATATATATATATATAATTTTTGCGTTTTTCTTGAAATACGTAATAAGCATATTAAGGCGTTTTGAAAAACAGTTGCAGCATATATTTATAGTAAAAAAGTAAATGTATATAAATAAACTTTTAATTGTCAAAAGAAAGTTTTAAAGTTGTATCTAGCTACGGTTTTTTTTTTTTTTTTGCCTCCAAAGCAGTACTTACCTGAGTAGTTGGACTTTCTTATTAACTTTTTTCTTTATTAAGTTTCAGATAACTTTTTTTTCAGACCATCCGCAGCTTATTAGAACTAATTACCTTAGCACATTAATAACATAAGTATCTCAATCATGACATATACGCAACAAATATTTTCTCCCGGTGATGTTTTTGTGATGTTTTATGAAATTTTAGCTTTTTTAAAATCTTTCCATTTGTAAAAGTGTATAACATCATTACATATGTTTGTATGTTATAGATCAAAATTAAGGAGAGCTTCACGCAATGCAATTTTCAAGTGAAAATCGAACTGTAAAACTTGATAAATGTTTCAGTATGTTTTCTCAATACTTAATTTAAAGTTAACATACGTTAGATATTTCTTATAAAACAAAGTCTTCTTATAAAACAAAGTGCTTCGTTTCTTTCTCGCCACTACCTCAGTTGCAATGGCTGTCTAGGTTTCTGTGTCAAACAGGCTCGAAAGCGCTCTATTAAGTTCAGTATTATTAATTAGATAATGTTCCAAGTATTTTTCCGATCATTTTTTATGTTTTATTATTGCTCGGTATAGTAATATTTCTTTGACTTTTTGGTAACCATCTCAAAAATACGTTTATAATTTTTGTAATTAGTTTCATTATTGAAAGTTTGTTTTTTGAAAAGCTTATTATATAGGCGATACTTTTTTTTTTGACGACTTTTTAGTTCACGACGTTATCTATTTTTCACACATTTCACACATACAACTATAGGAAAAGCCGTATTGTAAAGTTGCTGTAATTTATTAAGATGCATCCTAGTTTAAATCGGATAAAAGAGTATTAAAATTTTTTATTGCATTTTTTTATTTATTTATTGCATCTATTATTATTATTGTATTTTTTTTTTTTATAATAAAATTAATAAAAAATGTTTTAAAATAAAGTTAATAAAAAATTCATAAATATAATAAATGTATTTAGAATTTTTTTTTTAATGGTAAATTTTTTCAAAATTTAAACTACATAAGATTGTTTATTCTTGGAATCAAGTATGCGCAAAATTGTTTTGGAGCATGAGTAATATTGCATTTTCCAACTAAACTTGGAGGTGGACAACCAGGTGTGCACTCAAACTTAAAATCTCGAATTAATCTAGAAAAGAAGAAAAATAGTTCATTTTCAGCAACTGTTTTCCCTAAACAAACTCTTGTACCGGCTGAAAAAGGTAAGAAACTTGTTGCTTTACTTGGATCAAATTTCTTATCTTTGCCAATCCACCGATAAGGATTAAATTCGTTAGGATTTTCCCAGTAGTTAGTATCGTTATGAATCTGCCAATGATTAATCATGACTGTTGCATTTTCAGGAATGCTATGTCCCATGAGAACTGTTTCTCTTGTTGTTTTATGTGGTAATCCAAGAGGAACAATTGAAGATAAACGCAGACATTCTTTTAATGAGGCTTTAACAAGATGCAAAGAATCTCGGTCATTTAAACATGGGTACCGGTCTTCACCAATAACCGTAGTAATTTCTTTAAAAATTTCTTGTTGATATTTAGGATAATGCATCATATAAAGAACTAACCACAACAAAGATGTTAATGTGGTCTCACTACCCGTTATAAATAAATCCCCAATCACAGGCTCTAAATGTTCATCGACGTTTTTATATTTTTGTTTGATAGCTTCATTATTAGAGAAGTTTATAATAGAATCAGTAAAATCTCGAATTTTGTTTTCATTAAATGTTTCCTTATGTTTTTTCAACTTATCGTTTAAAAAACGAATATATTTTGAAAGTGAAATACTCATTTTTTTTATTGGAGAAAACGGTAAAAATCTCAACCACGGCAAAAAACCGACAGCAGTTGTATTTGACAACCCATCGACTATATTGTTTATTGTTGTAAGAACTTCTTTAAATTCTGAATTTGAATACTGGTATCTTTCCCCAAAAACAATGAAACAAATCACGTTTATAATTGCAGCACCTACATAAAAAAGAAATTGTAAGCAATAAATTTTACAAATTAAAATTTTTCCCTCAAATTATAAATTTTCAGCTTTTCATAAAAAGATTTCAGGAAATGTTATTTAATATTTATTTATATTAGAAAAACTAAGTGAGGGGTCGTCTATAAATTACGCAACGCTAAACTTCACTAATAAACAAAATAAAAAAGATCAAAAGTTTTACCTCGCAAAGCCTTAAGTTAAATAAAAAATCAAAATAGCGCATCAAGATTAGTGAAAATTCCCGTTATATATTAAGATATCCTACCTCCAAATATCCAAAGTTTTTAAAATAAACTTAGTGTTGCGTAATTTATGAACGACCCCTAAAAATTAATGTTTAAGCAGTGGTTAGATTTCTGGCTTAGAACAAGAGGTTCTAGGTTCCATTATAACTCTAGCCCAATAAACAACATCGGTAAGGAAGGAGTTGTAGCTTACCAGTGTAGCTGTTGCTTATTTCTGATTACCAATTAATCTTTGATTACCACCCAGCAAAAAAAGTTTTATAGAATTTCTATAAACTTTTGAAACATATAGCCAATAAAAATTCTATAGAAGTTTATAGAATTTCTATAGAATCTCTCTTAATTTCTAAAGAAATTCATATTGAACACTTTTTTTCTACTTATTTTTTTCTATAGAAAAAAAAAGTTTTATAGCAATTTCTATAGAAACTAATAGACATTCTTTAGAAATTCTATAGAAGTTCTATAAAATTTTTATAGGCTATCTGTTTCAAAAGTTTATAAAAATTATATGGAACATTTTTTCCTGGGCAATTTAGTTTCTGATAATCTTCGAATACCAGTGTTGTTGTTGTTTATCTTTAATCACCAATGTAGTTGTTATTAATCTTTGATTACCAGTGTAGTTGCTGCTAATCTTTGGTTACCAGTGTAGTTGTTATTAGTTATTGATTACTAGTGAAATTATTGTTAATCTTTGATTACCAATGTAGTTTTTATAAATCTTTGATTACCAAAGGGGGAGTGTTACTTTGTAAAAAAAGTTAAAATATGATACCAGTATAAGCATATAAAATAAAAGAATAAATGACAAATAATGTACTTTTATTTACATGACGTAGGTAATAATATATATGTTTTTTTCTAAATGTAAATTCCATAATTGATGTTTTTTTTTTTTCTTATAGTAGTGAGCTATTATAATAATCCCCACAACCAACATTTAAAGCCAATATTCAACAAAAGAAGATAATGATTTATTTGTGATGGGATTACAATGATCTAATTTTAGCTGCTTTTGAGAAAGCAAGCTGTTAATTTGAATTTCTATTTTTTTCTGCCGCCAAAATTAAACAAAGAAATAAAACAAACTCCCTGAACTGTCTAATTGCGAAGACATGGTGCTCAATTATGTTCCCTCATAAATTAACAGATCTCAATTAATATCACATCCACCCTTTCACGCCCTTACTTAAAACAAACAGGTTACAATTTATTTTTCTTTCTTCAAAACTATTTGAATTTTAAATTTATTTTTTCTTTTCTTTAAAAACATTTAAACGATAAAACTGTAATTTTATAAGTAATTTTAAAATCTTTTATACTTTTTGATAATCCAAACAAGACTATTTTTATATGAAATAAAGTAGTTTTATTTTGTGTGCATTATTTATTTTTGCACATAAAATGATTATCATCATCATCATCATGTCTACTATTTGTTTGTTCTTACTTTATTACATAATTTAAAGTATATTTACCAAATTCAGTTTTCAGATCTACGGAAGTTTTTGATTTCATTAAAAGTCTTTTATGTAGCTCTTCACTTTCTTTTGTGAGTATCTCTTCAAAACGTTCATGTCCTTCTCCATAAATTTTTAATGAAGAATGACCAACTTTACGCAAAACTTTCCAGAAGGAACCATAGTCCATAAATGCAATGCCTTTGTACCCACTTGAAATTAATTTAATTAAATAAGATTTTGGTCTACCTGCAAATACGGATGCTTTTTGAACTAGTGCTTCTCTAGCTGTAGTAATGTCGGAAATTATAACAACTCTTTGCAATCCTAAACTTATGCTAAATACTGCTCCATACTTTTTTGAGTATGCAGCAAGTATTTTATGCGGCTCTGCTCCTAATAAGTGCAAGTTACCAAAGATTGGTATAGGAAAAGGTCCAAGAGGATACTTTCTGCATTCCAACAAGTGCATAAAGTAAGAACCAGTAATATATAGCAAAATCGGAATTATCAATCCACAGATAATTGCATACCACATTGCTCATCAATCTATTTATTAAAAAAAAATATATATATACATATATATATATATATATATATATATATATATATATATATATATATATATATATATATATATACATATATATATATATATATATATATATATATATATATATATATATATATATATATATATATATATATATATATATATATATATATATATATATATACACTATATTGAAATTTTTGTTAGAAAGATTAAATTAAAATCGCATATTTTTATGAGACAATCGTCATTTTTTAAACATATTAATCAAAAATTAGTTTACATTAATAGATAGAAGCGAGACACAGACGGAAATATATAAGCGACACACCGACGGAAACAGAATTTTTGTTAAGTAATACAATAAATATATTAACTATTCTAATTTTTTCTTAACAACACCATTACAAAAAAAGAAACAAGATAATCTAAGATAAAGGTATCCAAGATATCTTAAGATCAGCAATAAACTAATCTAATTTTATAGTGTTATTTAAACAAAATTTATAAATTCCTTAATATAAGAAGAAAATGTTTTCGGATTTAAACCACTTTAGATTTTATCTGTTTAAAGTTTTTGATTCACAAGTTAAAAAAATAAAATTTTCCTTGTAAAAAGCAATAAACTGTATAGGCAACAAGAACCACTATAAATTGCGTGATTTCCTGACTCTTATTTGCAACTCTAAAAGTCCCAATTGTACATAAATAGTTTATGCAAAGAATTTGATAAAATTGAAAACTTACACATTTGTAGTAAAATGTATAATCCCCAGCACTTACACAAAGTTGTGTTAACGTTAAAACATTAACATAACTTTAATACAACGTTGTGTGTCTACTGAGTGTATGTTTTTATATACGATTATTTTATTATATATTATAAATATATACAAAAGCTTAACTTTATTCTATATATATATTTTGGTTGAATATTTATAGTTTTTAATGGTGATGGTGATGCAACCCTAAAATTCTAAAAAAACTATGCTGATGTAGTTTTCAGTATTTTAGCCAATAAAAAGTTTATATCTACGAAAATAAGTCATTAAGCAGATATTTCAGCTCTCGAATGGTATTCAAAACAAAAAAAAAAACTTTCTTACTTAGTAAGAACTAAAAAAAAAAGGATCAGTAAAAAAAATTACGACATTAATATATTATGAAAATATTACGAAGATACCTAGCTAAACCACATGAAAATGCTTATAAAATATTGTTGCAATTGCGCAGTTAAACGCTGTACAAAAATTGTAAAAGTTTTTATATAAAAGTTTATTATATTTAAATCTTCTTCAGTATATCTAAAAACTCGTTTTTTAATTATTAAGTATTTAATCTCCGAATCACAAAAAAAAATAATAATAGAAAAGAATACACAGTTGTTTTTTAATTGTATATTTAAGCGCTTAAGATAAAGCTGGTGACGCATGACATTGGAACAAAATACTTTGTGACTTAAAGCAGCTGTTTTTTTTAGTTTATAATATTTGATAATTTTACAATAGCCTGAAATAAATCAACAAGAAATTTTAAAATCTACATTGCATACAAATCTACATACAAGAAATTTTCAAATCTTCAATAAATATGAAATAAAAACTTACTTGAATAGTTACTGACATCCCTTATTTAAGGTTCAGATTTTTAGCGATATATTTTTATGTATTGCAATAAAGAAGAAATGTGAACAAAGTTGAATGCTTTAACGAAACAACTTTAATTGTATTTTCCTTTGAATATATACAGTATTGGCCATTAATAACAATCCATCATGTTATTTTATTATGAATATAAGTTTGAAATTAAATATTTTATAAACTGAAAGTGATTTTTTCTTAATTTTTTTTTAATGAAATAAATCAAAAGAAATAAATTTTTTTTTTTAATGAAATAAATCAAATATTATGAAATATTGAAAATTAAAAAAATGAAAAACTAAAATATTGAACTTTAAACAAGTATTCATTTGTATCAAAAAAAAAATGTGGCCAAAAGAAACAAACCACAAAAACAAAATTAACAAACCTTTATAAGAAAATACTTACATTTCATAAAAAAAAAAAGAATTAATATTTTGTTAACAATCTTTTTACTTTTAAGCATTCATTGATATATTTCGGCATGGAGTTCACTAGATTCTGAGTAATCTCTTTTGGAACACTATTAAATAATTTTGATACTAATTCTTTCGGCTGGTCGAGATCTTTTATCTCAATTTTACCAAGATTTTGTTTAACCCAGACCACAAATTATTTATGTAATTGAGATCTGGACTATTGACAGGCCAAGACATGGTTTTAGTGTTGTTTTCTTCAAACAATTACTTGAAAATCTTAGCAGTATGGGGCTTTACCTTGTTGGAAGATTCTTATGTCTTTTGGAAAAATGTCAATAAAAGGCATTAAATAATTATCCAATATGTCTAAATATCTTTGAGAATCGAGCCTTCCATCAAATATTTTGAAACAATCGACACCTTCATAGTTCATGTAGTGATAGTAATAAATAATATTTTTATGAAAATAATAAATAATATTTTTATGAATACCTATATTTATTTGAAAGAAAATAGGATGCTCATTAATATACATTTTTTATATTTAAGAAGAGTAAAAAATCATTGATTTAATACCAATCAAAGTCCAATGATATCAAAAAAAAATAAGCTGGATTGTTATTAATGGCCTATATATATATATATATATATATATATATATATATATATATATATATATATATATATATATATATATATATATATATATATATATATATTATTATTATTATTATTTTTATTATTATTATTATTATATTTTCTTTGCCGTATAATTAAATTTACAATGAGAAAAAACCATTCAAGTATAAAAATTGGCCGGAGCAAGAAGAAGACATAAACTGTCTTATCCCCAAGCCCCGTTTACATTAACGTCACAAAGTTACAAGTTAAAAACTAAAAGGTTAAAAATTGAAGTACAATACAATATTAGTTCGACAGATATAAAACACAAGTAATAAATCGAATAAATGTTATTTGTCTGTTCAAAATTAATAGTATATATATTTTTTATTTTAATAAGAAATAAACAAGATACACAAGACAATAGTAAATGAGTAGTGATGACTTTTTCAGGTTTAATTATTTTAGGTGATTTTAGAAGAAATCTTTAAAATCGAAAGTTTTTTCTAATAGAAAACGTTAAGATTCTCTTTTGAATTGTTCTAAGGAGATGCCTCGAAGAATTTTATTTTTAATTATATTTTTTAAAAAACCTTTCCATATAAATGGTCCCCGGTATTGAATTTGAAATGAATTCAGTTTTAAATAAGATCTTGGAATATAGGAGAGTGGGGTTGGTTTTTGCACTTTTTACATTATAGACTGCTCAGCTTTTATTTTTTTTCAAATCAATGTCAATCTTTGTACGAAAGTAATTTAATATTTCCGGTAACTATTGCAATATTTTAATGACATTGAGTGAAATATTTTTTGCTGTAAAATCACCTCTTCCGTGTGAAAACCAACCCCACCCAAAAGGTTGGTTGTCACATACTATGGGGTTGGTTGTCACATTTCTTGGTATGTTTTGATTACATTTAAAACTAATACTAATAAATTTTGTTTATATAATACAAAGAATAAATATGAATAATCTGAAAAAAAAAAGATATACTGAAAAAACGAAAACACTATACACCAAAAAATGTTTTTTTTTTCTAATATAGCACTATAAACACATTTAGTTTAGGACTATATACATAAGTGCTTTTATAAATTGTTAGATGAAGAACACAATTAACATATAAATTGGTGTAAGCCTTCTGTACATTCTTCATAAGCCCATTTTTGGCAAGCCTGACATTAAATCCACTGTTCTCTTATCTGCTGTTAGCGAATGATTCACAACAATAGATGCATAGATACTCTTCTTTAGATGAATTTAAGACAATAGAAGTTGTTGTTTTTTGGCAAAATTTGACTTTATCAATTCTTTTTTACTTCCATTAATAAATGATTTACAATTCTTATTAATATTTTTTAAATAGCTTTCTTCTTTTTATAATTAGCAAGCCATGCTTTGACAGATGAGTTAGTAAGAATCATAAATGAACGCTTTTTCCTACTTCTTTTTGACGCTAACTTAAGAATTTTTTGTGGGTTAAGTTACTCAAATGAATAAAAAACTTTCAAAGCACAATAAAATAATTTTACTTTGGTAAAAAAAAATTTTTAAGTGAGCGAATATTAACTTTTTCATATCAAAAACCTATAAAAACAAATAATTTTTTGTATACACGCTAAAAAAAGCTGAATATTACGGTAAAAAAATTTTTTTCATATATCATTTCCATTGTATGATTTTAAAGTTCTAAACCTTATCTACATTTCCTGTAATAAATCTTGTGACAACCAACCCCGCGTCACAAACCCGCTCTGCCCTATATATTGCTAACCTAGGAAAAAACAGTTATACAGTATTTCTATAAACTTTTGAACTATATAACCTATAGAAATTCCTAAGAATGTCTATTAGTTTCTGTAGAAAGTGCAATTAAACTTTTTTTTCTATAGAAAAAAAGTTAAAAAAAAAAAGTTCTATAGGAATTACTATAAAAATTAACAGAGATTCTATAGAAATTCTATAGAATTCTATAGAATCTCTATAGACCAAATGTTTCAAAAGTTTATAGAATTTCTATTAAACTTTTTTTCCTGGGAAGAGCTTTTACATTTTTACATTATTAATGGAATTTTTGAATTTTTTTTTACTTAACAAGAAGATGTCACAAATAAGTTAAAAACTTTTTAAATTGAAAAACGATATGAAAGTTGTCAACAAATAACCGTTCAATTATAGTGAGCATTAGAGTACATCATACTTTCAAAATTTTAGATTTTCAGGGGGATTATTTTTATAATACCACTTTATTAACTTCCGAAAAAACAATTTTGAAAAAAAAAAATTTGAACTATGCGGAATAAGACATTTTGGTAAGAATAAAAAGAGCCAAAAAAAAATTTATTTCTTTAACTTTTGAAAAATCTGAATCTGTGTAGATTTTTTTTTTAAGTATTATTATACTTAAGCTTCGCAATAAATTTATAACATGCTATAAAATTTATAACATTTATAAATTCTAGCGTTTGTTGATTCTTATCCTGAAATCAGCTTTTTTTTATTTCAGCATTCATGAATGATAATACCGTGTCAGCGCGTAATAGTTTTGCATCTTTACTGCTAAGATTCTTTAGAGCTTAACAGGTTTCGTTGTCTCTAGTACCCAGGAACAGGTTTCGTTGTCTCTAGTACCCAGGAACAGGTTTCGTTGTCTCTAGTACCCAGAAACAGGTTTCATTGTTTCTAGAAAATCTTTTAAGACATTACTGACAAAATATTATTTACTAAATTTGAATAAAATTTGAATTTTAATAAATTTTTTGAGTTGTTCTTTTTTTATATATATATCAATGGCTCAAGCATTATTTGTATGGTATTCCAGCGAGTTTTTACATTGAGTTGAAGCTCTTTTCTGAAAGAAGATGAAGATGGTTTCTTTTTCAAAAGAACTTTTTGGTCGAAAAACGCGATTTTGTACAGTTGATTTTTTAATGTATTTTATCAACTTAGATGAGTTCTTAAAAAAATCTTGGTAGCTGGCTTTTACACTCATCATTTAAAACAATTTTTTTTATTTTTGTTTTGTAATTTTTTGTTTTAGGTGTTCCAAAATACAAAATAGTCTTGTTACATAGTGCTACGGAAGAGTTTGCCTCGAACCCTGGATCTCTTGCTTGTAAAGCAAGCGCTCTAACCAATTCAACACGGCCGCTTTAATTTTGACTTAACTATGGTTTTAATTTGATTGAAAAAATTGTTTTCATTGTTAACATAATCACTAGCACTAATCTAAGGCTTCAGTATTAAATTTTTGCGATAAAAGGTGTTTCACATATACTATGATGTAGATCACGATTTAGACAAAATTGACCAAATGCATCTAAACTGATACTTTATCCTATGTAGTTTCATCACAGTGTGTAACTACCCAGGAAAAAAAGTTCTATAGAATTTACTATAAATTTTTGAAACATATGACCTATAGAAACTCTATAGAGTTTCTATTGAATGTCTATTAATTTCTATAGAAATTGCTATAAAACTTTTTTTCTATAACAAAAAAAGTAGAAAAAAAATTTCAATAGGAATTTTTATAGAAGTTAACAGAAACTCTATAGAAACTCTATAGAATTCTATAGAATTTCTATAGGCCATATGTTTCAAAAGTTTATATAAAA